AATCAATGAAATTGATATTAAACCAAAGAGAATTATATTTAAATTAATTAAAGAATACCTTAAAGTATCATTGAAAGAAGCAGAAGAGATATATATTGTATCAATGAAAGATTATTTCTTTGAAGAGTTATTTGATAAATGTAAGAAATTATGTATTGATGAATGTGAGAATTGTCAATTCATAATCGACAAGAATCAAATCAAAGAAATGAAAATAACAAAATGTAAAAATACAGAAATCATAGGGAAGTTAGATAATATTGAAGAAATCATCACAATAGATAATGAAGAATGTAATATTCCAGAAACAACGAAAGTTATAAAAGAAGATACAGAAATAATAGAAATGGATAATACAAATAAAGATATAGAAATAGAAACAGATAAAACCCATATTATAATAAGAAATATTCATGAACGTAATATTAAAATTAAAAGTGATATTAACAGTGATGTTACAATAGAAAATTGTAAAAGTATCACACTTGAAGGAGAACATGAACACTATGGAAATATTCAATTCATTAATTGTAAGAATAATAAAGAAACTCTATTTAATAATCAAGATAATAGATCAAAAATTAGATGTGCTAGATCAATATCAATTAATAAATGTGAGAATATTAATTTTGAAATTTATGGAACTAAAAAGTTATTAGAAGTTATTGATAGTAAAGTGTGTATTTCAGTAAGATCATTTTCTCATAATAAACTAAACATTGACACAATACATATTGAAAACTCTGAGTTATATAATTTTGATTCATATTTATCATGTAACAAAGCAATTTTAAATAATAGTACTGGAGTTAATGAAATCATTGAACTATGTGAAGAAGAACTTATAATGAAAAGAATAAATGACACGCAATTCATGTTAGACCAATCTTTGAAGAAAGTTGAAATGGAAGAATGTAGTGGAATTGATATTAATAATGATGTTAAAGGAAAAGAAGTTAAAATGATAAGATGTCATAATATGAAGATGATTGATACATCAAATTCAATCAACCAGATTGAATGTGATAATATTGAAGTAATAACAGAACAACAAAACAGAATGATGAGAGAATTTATTCCTAATAATATGCCAATGGAAGGATTTATGCATAATAATATTCCAATGAGAGGATTTATTCCTGATAATATGCCAATGGGGGAGGATTCGGAGATGGATTCGGTATTTAGTCAAGAAAGTAACGATGATGAATAACTTGATTCATTTTTGATAAATTTGATTGATTAAAATAAAAGATTTAACAAATAATAAACAATGTTATGATTGGTGAATGATAAATGATATTCAATAAATAAAATCAAATTCAAAATAACTCTTCATCAATAATTCATTTATTGATATAATAAGTTTATCATAATAAAGTTTATCATCAACAAAAATACAATTCAATTATTAATGTAATAACACTTATTTTCATTGATAAAGAGAATAAAGAAATTAAATGTTTATAATGATGATTAAACTAGAGTATGAGAACAAAAGAATAAAAAGAAAGAATGTTAATTAATAGATTGTAAATGTTCTACACCAACTTACTTTCCAAAATTAATAACTTTTTCCTGTTTCTTTATGTCTTTCTCAACAATACCTTCTCCATCACATCAAACCATATATAACTCATTATATGCAATATGATACAAGTTAGCAGTTTCTTTAATTGCATAAGCACCTCTTTCACAAAAACTCTCTTGAACATCAGCACAATTCATTATACATATAAATCTTTTATGTTTAAACATTGGAGTAAGTTTTTGTTTTAATCCATTATTATCCCAATCATATGAAGGAATAAAACAATCTAACAATGCATTATTCATACAATATTTTAAAATTATATAAAATCATATTAAAATGATAAAAACAGAATTAAAAGATAAATTAAATATAATTAAGAATTGTGAAATATTTAATATTCTAATATCACTGTTTTGTCTTCTTCATTTCAAATAAATAATAATGAATAAAATCATTTCAATTAGAATGATTCTTTGTTGTGTGAAATTAT